CACTTCACTCTCCCATCGCAACATTTCCACAACAATTTCCATGGAAACAGGCAGGAAGAAGTCCTCCTCCTCCAGGCCAAATAAGAGTCAGGTTTGTGGAGATGCAAGCCCTCACACTCACAGTAAGAACAGGTTTTTCTTTGTTTTACTGAACTCAAGTGATTTAAACTGGTTTGATTGTGGTTCTTCCAGTGTCCACTCACAAACACACAGACACTTTACAGAAATATTTACAAAGAAAAGTGAGTATTGTTGCCATAGAAACACTGTACAGACCAGCCACAACATTATGACCACCTCAAAAACAGAACAGGATTAAAGACACGTGTTTCTTAAATGGTTTTCTTTGTTTTAATCTTGGTTTAGTCCTGTTTTAGACTTGATTTGGTCTTGGTTAAGTCCATGTTTAGTCCTGGTTAATCATTTCCCTAGTTTAGTCCAGTTTTAAACCTGGTTTAGACCAAGTACTAGTACTGCTGGAGGTTATAATATTGTGGCTGCTCCTTTTTTTCTATAACCCTTCCCTTTAAATGCCCTGTAGTTCACTCCATGCATCCCATAATATTCAAAAGCAAATTATAAAATGATCGTCAGTACGATTTGGCGACTTTTATGTACAGAGACCTGATGGAACACTGCACAAGAACAGCTGACGAGCAAAACACTTCAATTCTAATGATACATATTGGTTTGAGTAGTTTGGACGATGTTTAATTCAGCACAATTTGGAATCAGAATTTAGATTTTTTTTTTTTTTTTTTTTCATTTAAATTTTAGTTCTATTTTATTAAAAAATGCAGGGTAAAGCATTTCAACTTTTTGTGTTAACTACATTCAATTCATTTATTCATTTTTACATAGAAATATTGGGGATGGGACAAGATCTCGTGCCACAAGATCTCACGAAACTAAATTGCCATGAGATTGTTTTTCCCCACAATTTTACGCTTGGATTGGATAACAAAATGAAGTACTGGTGAGTTACAGTTTTTGAAAAGCTGTAGTCCCAAAAGCAGTCTTACAATGACAGTAAAAATATGAAATAAAAATTTGACAAATTTGGGAACTAGACTGCGCAGTTTATTTATTTGTAAAGAATGTATAAGGCTACGTTCAGATTGCAGCCTGAAGTGACCCAAATCTGATTTTTTCACCCCTACATGACCTGTATCTGATCTTTTAATGACAGTCTGAGCGACACAGATCTGATTTTTTCAAATGTGACCCAGGCCACTTGGATATGTGCTCCAATTCTGATACAAATCTGATCTTTTGACATGCGACTTCAGTCTGAACGGTCAGGTCACATTCATCCCACTATTGTGCGGTAACAAGCACTTGCTGAAGACATGTTTCCTCCTGCGAGAGTGGTACAAGCAGACGCTCACAAATGTACACAAACGTCCTTCTCGTCATACAAAAGTTTTGTCTGAACTCCGTGTGAGTGAAGCAGTGAAGCACAGATCAGTCCCACCACTCTTGGCTGCAACTCTGCACCCACACGTTTCTTTTCTACGGACGTTGCTGCCGCTGTCCCACAAAACACCATGGCCAAAAACCTTGTCCTTCTCCTTCTCAATCTACTTCTCAAAACAAATACCATATTTTGGGGACTATAAGGTGCAATTAAAATCCTTTAATTTTCTCAAAAATCAACAGTGCACCTCATGTATTGATTCTGGTCGTGCTAACTGACCTCCACTGACTCGTGTCCTTTGGTCCGACAGAAGCTGAACTGCATCAGCGCACAAAGAGCGATCTGTTTTTTATCAGCGCTTATAGTTTATGCAAATGAGTCATGTGGCTTTAATTTTCGTTTATGTAAATCGTAAAAAAAAACAGACTTAAATGATCCACCCACATTCAAATTCATAATAAACATTCACCAAGACAGGGAGGCAACAGCGGGCGAATTACACCACGATCTGCCGATGGATTGTGGATGACTGGGCTAAGGATCAATCTCAAGTGTCGCCCGTTTGATTCACCTAATGCGATTTATAATCCAGCACAAATAGATGAAAGAATTCAACATTATTGATATTGCGCCTTGAAAAAAACTGTAAGCTGTACATTCTGTTCTGGCTCTGGTACGACAGCAACTTTAAAATCTCCAGGTGCTCAATGCTGCGTCCTTATGTTTAGGCGACTTCCACAATTTAATTAGAAATGTGAATGCCTTGCAGAAAACTTGGATTTAAAAAAAAAAAAATTAAATTAAATCCAAACTGAGTGTTAAGCCCTGCAGTCTGAACGTAGCCAAAATCTCGTCTTGTTTTGTTCTTGTAGATCCAGTCTCGTGTCTCGTCTTGTTTTGGGTAAATTACATCTTGTCCCACCCCAACAAATATATGGTATTTTTGTTTTCCATAGAAATTTTTCATTTTTGGTTGAGTTGAAATTTTCATATATATATATATATATATATATATTTTAAATGTTTGATTTTTTTTTGTTGTTGTCCAGCTCACTTACTTGCATTTTTTTTTTTTGTTTTGTTTTTTTTTTTGTTTAGCAGCAGCCAGTAATGTAAATTTAAAAAAAAAAAAATCTGTTGTATTAAGTCATATAATCTAACGTTAACAAGTAAATAAACATTGTCCAAACTCCTCCAATGCAAAACGTACATTCAAATTTGAAGTCATTTTAGCTGGAGAGACTTTTCGGTGCAGTGTTTTGTGATTCCTGTTTAGTACCAAACTTACAGTAGCTCCATGCGTTTGTACAGACACACGAGTCGAAATGTTTGTAAAGAATGAGCAACAGAAAAACACGTGTGAGGAATGTGCAGCACTAAAGGTTACATTTGTACATTCATATGTTTGACCTGCTGTGACTGTCACTATAGAGGTTACACAGACTGTATAGAAGATCATTGGCACCAGCAAAAAGAATACAAAAATACATTATAAGAAGACGCTTTATAAGAACAGGGCACGGACCGGACTCAACCAAGTGGATAGGGTCAAATGTCAAATATGGAATTCTTTTAAAGCTCCTATATTCTACACACTGTTGGGCAAGTTACGTCAAAACTGTAATGTGTTATTTATTATTATGACTTATTACTGTCATTTCAAAGTCATTTCTTACATTACAATATTACTGCATTTAAAATGTAAAACATTACATGACTATTATAGCACGTTAAAAGGCTCTCAACAAAAAAAAATAAAATAAAATGAGCGAAGATGCCAAACTTTTGCGCTATATATGGACTGAACCAGGTCTAAACCAGGACTAAACCAAGACTAACCCAGGACTAAACCAAGACTAACCCAGGACTAAACCAGGACTGAACTAGGACTGAAAAAGGACTAAACTAGGACTGAACCAGGTCTAAACCAGGACTGAACTAGGACTAAACCAGGACTAAACCAGGTCTAAACCTGGACTAAACCAGGACTGAACCAGGTCTAAACTATGCTGACCCTGTCGCGACATTTGGAACCATAACAATGGTGTTTCACCGTTGCTAATATCGCGGTGATTTTGGCGAATTTGTAAGAAAAATGAAAAACTAAAAAACATTACAATGTTTTTTCCTGTAGTGTCTTACATTACTGCCATTTTACAGTATATTTTAACTCAATAAATACATGCTGACATAACTTCATTTTTGATTTTCTGTCAAATAAACACTTAAATGTCCACGCGGTTTCAGAATGATGAAAAATTAAGACCGTTGCCATAGCGATTTAAACTTGCTCGATTTAATCTCGCGCCAAATTGATCCACTCATCATCTGGGATGAAGCATAATCAAAACCCCAGGGACGGTTTTGAGGAGGACACTGCATTAGAACAAGGTTAAAGCTTTACTGTGGAACATTAAAGCTGAGTTGATGAGAATATAGGAGCTTTAGATCAGGTGAGTGAGGTGACTGGCTAAAGTTATGTTGCAGCAATAGGGCTATGGTGAATATAGAGCTCGATATAAGGCCACGTCTTCTGCTTTTTCAGTCAAGGAAAATAAACGTCCACGATTAAAGATTATATTTTAAATGCGGGATTAAGTTTACCATTTAACTAAAATAAGACAAAACTAAATAAGGACAAAAACAGAAGAAAATATAACTCAAAGTGGCATCTAGGATTCATCTTATTGTTTCAAATAAATACAAATTATATCAAGTGCCTTAGCTCCAGAAACTGCAACAGATTTTTTAAAATAAATTTTGTCAGATTTTACTTGCAAAATTGACCTTAGTCCAAATTTGAACATCATTGGCCAATTTTTAACCGAGAGCCAATCACAAAAGAGTTACGAGTTTCCTCCATGGAGATGCCATTGCTTATCCAGGAATGTTCCACAGTATGGCATGAAAGGGACAGTTCAGAATTTTGGACGTAGGACGTTTCCTAGTGAGCCAGAGTACTGTAGATATGTGGAAACACTTTTTGAAATATTCCATCCTGTCCTTGTATTTGGAGAGGTCGTTGATGCTAGGCTAGTGCAAGTCAATGGCCATAGTTAGCCTGCCACTAAAAACAGTCTTACCCACTCCACAAAACACCCGAAACAAATCTATTATTACACCAGACTGTCCATGTGAATGTCTGTGTTGAATAATTTTAGAAGTAAAACCAACCTTGCATTTGAAGGATTTATCTGAGCAGCAGTAGAGAGTTGTACTTCCTGATAGAAAGCTCGGCAGTGGTGGACTAATATCACCTGGCTCTGTAATTATTTGTTTACCTGCAGTTGCCATAGCGACACATAGAGCACATGAAGAAGCCTGTTCCAGTTATGGCTATGTTCATATTATCACAACTAGAGCAGAGTAAAACTCCGCTGCTGCTGAGAAAATAGTCCTCAACATGTGACGATTCATGTGATGTAAAGTTAGTTTCATTCACATGGACAGTCTGGTGTAATAATAGATTTGTTTGGGGTGTTTTGTGGAGTGGGTAAGACTGTTTTTAGTGGCAGGCTAACTATGGCCATTGACTTGCACTAGCCTAGCACCAGTGACCTCTGCAAATACAAGGACTGGATGGAATATTTCAAAAAAGTGTCTTCACACATCTACAGCACTCTGGCTCACTAGGGAATGAGGTCCTATGTCCAAAATTCTGAACTGTCCCTTTAATCTAAATCTAATCTAAATGTGGAGAGGAGTTACAAGACCAGGTTCAGATCTGTGGAGACGCAGCCCACAAACCATATTTTTCGAGGTCATTCTGAGCGGTTACGACAAGATGAACTGAATGAATGCAACATAGATTAGATTAATGCCATACGGCGGAACATTTCATGCTAGGAAAAGCATCTGCAAGTGCCCCATGTAGTGAACCCTTAAGTTTGATTGTTATTGATACTTTGCAGCTGATGTCATCCTCGTTCCCCAAGGGTGTGATGCTAACTGTAGGGACTGCTCTGTCTATTAAATCTAGATCTATTAAATATTAACCCTTCCAGACCAAAGGTATCGTACATGATACTTCGGAATATTTACTGTATATAACCGAATATAACTTTCCAACCATAAAAGATAGAAATGTATTTTTTTTCTCTTGAAAAGCTGAGACTTGCGACTTTCTGAGCATATTTTCGGCATTATTATGAGTACAGGGACGTAGGATAGGACGAGTGTAGGGAAAATGAGTGTCCAATAGGAACTTTTCCCATCAGATCTCAGATGCTCAGCAGGGCCGGGCCTGGTTAGTACTTGGATGGGAGACACTGGGAAAATCAGGTGCCACAGTAGGCCGGCAGTCGTAAAAGCTGTCATTGTGTCCTTAGGCAAGGCACTTCATCCACATTGCCTAATATGAAAGTGGAGTGTGTGTGAGTGATGGTGGTGGTCGGAGGGACTGGTGGTGCAGATTGGCAGCCTCGCTTCCGTCAGTCTACAATAGTATCTTACCACCACTGGGTCTGGAGTGACTGAATAATGATCTGTAATGCGTCTATGAGTGTCCATAAAAGTGCTGTATAAAAATAATGCATTATTATTTATTATTATTAGGATCTTTTTTTGTTTACTTAATGCAGAGATCTCCTTTTGAGTCCAATGAGTTACTTTCACAAAACGAAAATGCTGGAGAGCAGCTCATTTTAGTGGTCACACAAAATTGAGTGGATATAAGAGGACAAGTCTTAGTGTTGTACAGTTAGACGCCTATAAAACCTAAGATCATTATTCAGTTATTAGAACACAAAGTTCAAAATAACACATTAACAATGGTAATTAATCAAATTTGAGTTATTCAGTACAATACGTATAATTCAGAAATCCCTTGGTGAGCTACTTGGAAGGGAGCGGAGAGCTACAGGTTGGAGACCTCTGACTTACAGACTTGATATTTTGCACTTTTGTAGCTAAGGCCCTAAATTAAGCTTCTAAGAGTGTTTTCCTTTTTCATTTGTATTTCTGGTCTTATAATTTTTAATTTCAGTGATATGACACAACTACAGAAGCAGACTGTGGAAATAACAGGTTGTACTTAAAAAAAAAAAAAAAAAGATGTTTAACACTTCATTAGGGGGTAAAAGGGAGCGTTTTAATAACAAAATTAAGAAAAAAATCCAGGCAAGGAAAAATTTACTAAAATTGCCTTTAGGTCTGGAAGGTTTAATCTGGGACTGAACGCTCGGACTGACCACAGGCTCCTGAAAATGTGCTCTTTAAATCAATTTTGTATTTTTTCGTCTAATCTAAACCTTATCAGGCTGTGTTTACTAATGTGTGCATTGTGTCACCGTGGTAACTGCTGAATATCCCTCCATACACACATATGCTGAACACCCCCGACGTGATGTCACTGCAAAGTATCAATAATTAGCTGAGTTCAAGGAAGAATAACTATTGCACAAAAACGTATTCTGATAAAACTGTACAAATGGTTAAGAGAAGAGAAGAGAGAAGAGATGAGCCTTAATAAAGAAACAGAAGTGAACTTGAAACGTTCCGCTCAAAAGCTGTAGGCGGTCTCCTCTTTAGATGAAACGTTGCAGGCGAGTGGCTCTACGCAAGTGAAATTTGTGCTTCAATTTCACCAGAGTTCTTGTGCTGAGGCAGGCAGGTGTTTGATCTGGCAGGTTGCACTGAAAAAAATAAAGAAGAAGAAAAAAAACCCCGAACAGGTCTTTTGAAATTCCATCAAAATGCTAAAATATAAACGTCCAAAAGTGATTCTGAGTTGGTTTAAGAAGAGTCTGCGAGCCGTACTTTTGGGGGACTTCATTCTCCAAACCGCATCTGCTTGAGTTATGATAAGTTCAGATGACATTTTTTGGCTTTTTTATAGCAAAAGAAAATTCAGATTTAGAGGTGAAGACGTTTCTCTCTTCATTTCTGGTCAAGTGCAGGTGGGCACTTATTGGGCTCCGAAAATGTGAACTTAAAACATGCGGAAAGTGAAACGTTGGCACTGAGAGGAGTCGAAAAGGGGGGGAGTGTTAAAGGTGATGTTAAAGGTGCACTGTGTCACTTTTCTGGTGGAGGGGCCGTAACGTGCTTGTCTCCTTGGAGGTGCTGCCTTGATTATTTCACAGTATGGAAATAAACTTAATTATCACACTGGAGACGAGTCAATGGTCAGATCTGTGGAGAAGCAAGTCTGCACAAAGTAATTCATGTGTTTCACAGTATTTTTGAGTTATAAAAACCGTTTTGTGGGCCAACCCCTGGGTGGACTTTTTCTGACCCTCTTTTTAATGCTGCTTAATTCCTGGTTTAGTCCTGTTTTAGTCCTGGTTTAGTCCTGATTTAACCCTGCTTTAGTTGGGTGTAGTAATTCTGTAGTCCCAGTGTAGTCCATGTTTAGTCTTGGTTTAGTCCTGGTGTAGTCCTGGTTTAGTCCTGTTGGAGTCAGGTTTTAGTCCTGCTTTAGTCCTGCTTTAGTCCTGGTTTAGTCCTGCTTCAGTCCTGTTTTAGTCCTGTTTTAGTCTTGTTTTAGTCCTGTTTTAGTCCTGCTTTAGTCCTGGTGTCGCTGTGTTCCACACACAGAGTATGTGCTGCTACTATCCACACATGTGCTGTGTCCACACTTTAACAGGCTCAGTCTCAAACACGCCTTCATACACCGGTCTGTCCTGAAACTAAACAAGGACCTTCATTCATAAAATTTGAGTTGCAATGACGAGCAGAAGATCAGAAGTCTTTGTTCCACTGTTTGTGTGTTTATGACACTGAATTGTGTCTGTGTGATGGAGCTGCTCTTTCATTGCGAAACAAATTTCGGATCTATGATCTGGGTACACCGGCCACCCACTTCTCCTGATGTGAGATATAAAAAATAACAAATATAAAGTAGCTTCATGTCAGAACTGGAGCTACTAGCAATGATGAAAACAACCTGCATAGACTTATGATATCTGCACTACTGTCCTATAGAGACCTGAGACATGACGGACCAGGACTGGACCAGGACTGGACCAGGACTACACCAAGACTAAAACAGGACTAAAACAGCACTAAACCAGGACTAAAACAGGACTAAACAAGGATGAACTTAGGACTAAACCAAGACTAAACCAGGACTAAACCAGGACTGAACCAAGACTAAACCAGGACTAAACCAGGACTGAACCAGGACTAAACCAGGACTAAGGGGGTGTAGGTGGGATTCATCACATCGATGACGTCACGAATCGCTTACCAACACTTAAAAAAATTTCCACTACACCATTGCAATAAAGTATTATCTAAAATAATAAATACAAGGCAGATGTGTTTAAGGCCCTACTGTGGAACATTCCATGCAAAGAAACGACATCTCCATGGAGACAAGCAAGTTCCCTAGTTGACCTTTAAAATAGATGTATATTTAGTGCTTATTCAGTGCTTGAATATAGATTCAGTGGGTGTCGTTGAATCTCGTGTAAATAGTCCTTCATTTGCCTTGCAGAGTAGGTAGTTTCATCATCGTCCCCCTCCTCTCTGTGTGCAGACTGACGCTTCCTCCTCCTCTCCCTCCTCTCTTCCTCATCTTCAGTTAAATGGTCCATCGTGCCTCCTCCTCTCTTCCTCTCCTCCTCCTCCTCTTCACTTGAATGGTCCATCATGCCTCCTCCTCTCCTCTCCTCCTCTCTTCCTCCTCCCCTGTTTCAGTTGAAGGGTCCATCGTGGCGGTAGAGGGAGGTGTCTTCGGGACAGCTCTTTCCGTTCAGTTCTGTCTGCGGGGGCTCCAGGCAGTACCCCCCCTGGGCGTCTGTGGTGTGGACCTCGGTGATGGAGGTGGCGGTGTAGGAGGCCGAGCGCAGGGCGTCTGAGTGGGTCCCCACGCTGGAGAACTGCAGCTGGTACTGGGACCAGTGTCTGCGCAGAACCGCCTGCACCTGGAGACCAACACAGAACAGGACATCAGCACATAAAGGGTCTACATCACACTACATGGACTCTTGAGCTTTAAGTCATGTTATAATGTTGTTCCCTCCTCAAACACAAATCTGGAGTTGTGTTTTGTTTCATTCACATATTTGAGGAACTTTTATAGTCTGTCTACATCTCCAAAACTCCAAATGTTCCATCTCAGTGTGACAGGAGCTCAGCTGGTTTGGTTTGTTGACCTTTAGATCCACTGATCTGAAGGTTGGGGCTGGTATTCCAGGTCACACAGATAAATGCTGTTGTTGTGTCCTTGGGCAAGACACTTAAGGGCCCGGTCAAGCAGAAGTAAACAGCAAGGTCAAAAATTCAAGTTAATGCATCTGATATAAAAATGTATTGAACAGATACATATGTACTCTAGTTTATGAAACTGTTGACCTTTTTTCTGTACCATTTTTGGTTCTAAAGTTCCATATGTTTTAAACAGACCATGTATGAAACATGGAACAAAAATTATTTCCCAAATTTCAAAGACCTGCAAATCATGTCAATAAATGGATGTATTTCATCATATCTCGTGTTATTCCATCTTTGAACTGTTGATGAAGGTACAGGATTTAAAAAAAAAAATAAATAAATAAAATGATAAAAATTAGCTTGGAAGGACTGACATATTTTATAGAAATACTTTCCTTTCATTTTGAAGTAATATTAAAGTATTCAGAAGAAAAAAGTTGACAAATTATGTAAAATCCTGCACCTTCTACTTGTTTGAACAATTTTCCCTTCGTTACCATGACCTTTCTTAATAAAAAAATCTCATGACTCAAAAAGTCAGAGGTTTTTCAACCTAATCTTGTACCATATGGTAGAAAACTATATGAAGCAAATATTCAAACCAGTTTGTTAAGGATATGGAAGTGAGAACCAAGAGTTATCACTGTTTGGATTTATTGCCCAAAAAGTGCTGCATATTTCATTCCCTCCGTTACCGACATGAGGTTTTTAAATTTTTTGTCAACAACTTGAAAGAATATCACAGGTTTAACTTGACCCTGTTGGAGTGTAACTCTTTCCTACATTCTGATACTTTACTTATTTCAATAGTTCCTCTAGTTTCTGAATAAGAGACATTTGAATGTCAAAAATCTGCCCCTGTTTCCCTCCTTTACCACTTGACCAGACCCTTAACCCACCTCGCCCCCAGTGTCTGTGTACACTGGTGTTTGAATATGTGTATGAATGTGTGAGTGGTTCCTTGACGTGGACTGGAAGGAAGTGGAGGAACCACATCACTCCTGTTCTTAAATCCCTGCACTGGCTCCCTGTACATTTTAGAATCCATTAAAAAATGTGAATGATTGTTTTTAAGACTCTTAATGGCACCTTCCTATTTGTTTGAACTCCTCCAGCCCCGTGTCCCATCCAGAGGTCTGTGCTCTGCAGACCAGCACCTCCTGGTTGTTTCCAGAACCAGACTGAGAACAACAGAAAATGGGACCTTCTCTGTGCTCACATTAGAACTGCACAGTCACTGGAGCATTTTAAGTCTTTGCTCAAAACGTACCTTTTCTTCTTGGCATTTGCCCAAAGTTGGTAAGAGACACCATGACACCTTCCTGCTGTTATTATTTTAATATGATTATTCTGCTTGATTTGCTTGTACGTTTTATTTCACCGTAAATGTTGTTCAGCACTTTGGTAGTAACCTTTGGCTGTTTTAACTGTGCTATACAAATACATTTGATTTGATTTTGATTTAAAGTGCTTTAAGTGACCACTTACCATTTGTGATGTCATGAAGTGGTAGTTTTCAAGTTAACAGCTAATTAACCTTTTAGTTGAGTAGAGATTGGCAATTCCAGGATGGAACTGGAGTTAATATATGGTGACCAAACGTCTGTTTTTCCCCGGACATGTTCGTATTTTGCGTCATGTCCGGGGCGTCTGGGTTTTTTAATAAAGTGATGCAAATGTCCTGGTTTTCAGTACCGTTCATTAAACTGAGTCTCTCGTAGTTCTCTGTGACTCAGAAGGACAGTCGGTCAGTCTGCAACATGCCGAAGCGCAAAAGTGCATTTAACAATGACTTGTACAAGAAATTCTCTGTTTTCCATCCTGGTGGTGGGGACAAGTGTGAGTCCATGTGCACAGTTTGTGAGGTGAGAGTTCAGTGTCCCTCGTTTATCGCGGGGTTATGTTCTAAAAATAACCCGCAATAGGTGAAATCCGTGAAGTATCAACTTTATATTTTACAATTATTCTATCTGTTTTAAGGCTGTAAAACCTCAGCACAAACTTTATACACTTTTTCAGACAGGACAGGTGCAACCCTTTTTACATCCTTCTTAAAACTTATTGCTGCTGTCATCCTTTTGTTATTTTCCTCCTTCTGTATGTAACGAACTGAAGATTCATTTATTCTGTAATGGAACCCAACAGCGCAGAGTCCTGCACGGGTCCATTGGAGACCTGCAGTACAACACTACACCTGCCTGTTAACCCGTGATTATATCAAACTTTTGCGCTGCCTACACCACGGACTGAACTAAGACTAAACCAGGACTAACCCAGGACTAAACCAGGACTGATTCCAGGACTGAAGAGGAGGACTAATCCACGACTGAACTAGGACTAAGACAGGACTAAACCAGAACTGAAACAGGACTCACAGTCAGGACGGGTTCGGAGGTGACGCAGAAGAATGGACGGGCTCAGCTCCGCCCCTCACGGAGGTAAACGCGGCAGTTGCCTGATCGCGCTTTGTGGACAAACTGCTCGGCGTTTTCTCTCTTAAGTCCAAGATTAGTCCTGGTTTAGACCTGGTTTAATCCTGACTCACACATGTGTAATTACTACCCGCCTGTAATACACAATACGCGTTCAAAAAAAAATAAACCCCCCCCCCCCGGTCACCCTAGTTAATATGATTAACTGTGATTCAGGAGCTGGACCACACCTCACCCTCCTCTCCAGCCGACCACAGTTTATCTAAACCACATCTTCAATTACCCAGAAGTCCTGTTTATACAGCCTTTCCCGACAACACCGTCTGCATCAACTCTCTCGACCCCCTCCCTCCGCCCATCCTTCAGTCCAAAGACGTCATCTTTGGGGGGGGGGGGGGGGGGATTGTATCTCTACCCTGAGTGTCTCCCCAGACATCGCATCTATCCACATGTTTATCCACATGTTTATCATATTCCATTGTTGTAGTGTAGTCCTTGCTTGTGAAATGATTCGAGTCAAGATTATGGAGCACCTCCTGTACTACCACATGACATCACAAGATGAAAATGAGTGTTTTCATCTTAAATATTCACAGTTTGTGAGTTAAACATGGGTGAATGAAACAAAACACAACTCCAGGTCTGTTTGGGATGTGGAAACGACGTTAGAAGAGCAGAAAACAGTGTAACATGATTTTGTTCAACATGTGGGTTTTCTTTGTTCATTCTTTCAAAAACAGTGACTCTCCTGTGAAAGTTTTAAAGGTCCCTGCTCTCCACCTGAGACCACGACATGATGAACCCCCCCCGTCCTCTGCTCACCTGCAATAAATAATGCACGGCCCATTCACAGTGCTCCTTTGTGTCTCATCCACTGCATTTATAATAGATACACACAGATACGCTCGCCCATACTGTGTGTCAGATGCCCTCCCGTCCTCCTGTATCTCTATGTCAGATGCCCTCCCGTCCTCCTGTATCTCTGTGTCAGATGCCCTCCCGTCCCCCTGTATCTCTGTGTCAGATGCCCTCCCGTCCTGTATGTGTCAGATGCCCCGTCCCCCTGTATCTCTGTGTCAGATGCCCTCCCGTCCCCCTGTATCAGTGTGTCAGATGCCCTCCCGTCCCCTGTATCTCTGTGTCAGATGCCCTCCGTCCCGTCCTCCCCTCCGTCCCCCTGTATCTCTGTGTCAGATGCCCTCCCGTCCTCCTGTATCAGTGTGTCAGATGCCTCCCGTCCCCCCTGTATCTCTGTGTCAGATGCCCTCCCGTCCCCCTGTATCTCTGTGTCAGATGCCCTCCCGTCCTCCTGTATCAGTGTGTCAGATGCCCTCCCGTCCTCCTGTATCTCTGTGTCAGATGCCCTCCCGTCCCCTGTATCTCTGTGTCAGATGCCCTCCCGTCCCCCTGTATCAGTGTGTCAGATGCCCTCCCGTCCCCTGTATCAGTGTGTCAGATGCCCTCCCGTCCCCCTGTATCTCTATGTCAGATGCCCTCCCGTCCCCTGTATCAGTGTGTCAGATGCCCTCCCGTCCCCCTGTATCAGTGTGTCAGATGCCCTCCCGTCCCCTGTATCAGTGTGTCAGATGCCCTCCCGTCCTCCTGTATCAGTGTGTCAGATGCCCTCCCGTCCCTGTATCAGTGTGTCAGATGCCCTCCCGTCCTCTCACCTCTCCGTTGAAGAAGCAGAAGATGGTTGCCACTAGGAGACCCTGGAAACAAAAAGAAACAACAACTTTAGTCAAGTCAAATATTGAATCAAATTGTTCTTCACCTGTACAGATTTCAAACATACAAACTCCACATGGTTTGGGAAGTGGTAGTAACGACTTAAGTCCTGGTTTAGTTCTAATTTAGTTGAGTCTGCTTTATTTTTCAAGAAGACAGTGACGTCTGCATTAACCTTAACATTAGTCCAGTTCAGTCCTGGTTTATGTCCTGGTTTAGTCTTTGTTTTCCTCGTTAAGTTCTTATGATATAGTGCTTTATTTCTGTAAGCTCTAGTCCAGGTGTAGTCCTGTTTTAGTCTTAGTTTAGTCCTGGTTTAGTTCTACTTCAGTCCTGGTGTAGTCCAAACAGTCCTGATTTAGTTCAAGGTTAGTCCTGCTTTAGTTCTGTTTCAGTCCAGGTGTAGTCTTGTTTTAGTCCTGGTTCAGTCCTGGTTCAGACCTGATTTAGTTCTAGGTTAGTCCTAGTTGAGTCTTGGTACAGAGCTCCTTTAGACCTGGTTTAGTCCTGTTCAGTCCTGGTTTCGTCCTGGTTTAACTCTGCTTTAGTCCTGCTTTTGTACTGGTTTAGTCCTGGTTTAGTCCTGCTTTAGTCCTGCTTTAGTCCTGGTTTAGTCCTGTTTTAGTCCTGGTTTAGTCCTGGTTTTTAGTCCTGTTTTAGTCTTTTGTCCTGCTTTTAGTCCTGTTTTAGTCCTGTTTTAGTCCTGCTTTAGTCCTGCTTTAGTCCTGTTTTAGTTCTGTTTTAGTCCTGCTTTAGTCCTGTTTTAGTCCTGTTTTAGTCCTGCTTTAGTCCTGTTTTAGTCCTGTTTAGTCCTGTTTTAGTCCTGTTTTTAGTCCTGTTTTAGTCCTGTTTTAGTTGTTTTCCTGTTTTAGTCCTGTTTAGTCCTCCTGTTTTAGTCCTGTTTTAGTCCTGTTTTAGTCCTGTTTTTAGTCCTGTTTTAGTCCTGTTTTAGTCCTGTTTTAGTCCTGTTTTAGTCCTGTTTTTAGTCCTGTTTAGTCCTGTTTTAGTCCTGTTTTAGTCCTGTTTTAGTCCTGTTTTAGTCCTGTTTTAGTCCTGTTTTAGTCCTGTCCTGTTTTAGTCCTGTTTTAGTCCTGTTTTAGTCCTGTCCTTTTAGTCCTGTTTTAGTCCTGTTTTAGTCCTGTTTTAGTCCTGTCCTTTTTAGTCCTGTTTTTAGTCCTGTTTTAGTCCTGTTTTAGTCCTGTTTTTAGTCCTGTTTTAGTTTCCCGTCCTGGTTTTAGTTCCTGTTTTAGTCCTGTTTTAGTTCCTGTTTTAGTTCTGTTTTAGTCCTGTTTTAGTCCTGTTTTAGTCCTGCGTTTTAGTCCTGTTTTAATCCTGGTTTCGTCCTGTTTTAGTCCTGTTTAAGTCCTGGTTTAGTTCTGTTTTAGTCCTGTTTTAGTCCTGTTTTAGTCCTGGTTTCGTCCTGGTTTAACCCTGCCCTAGTCCGGGTCTAGTCCTGGTTTATTATGAATCACATTGTAGTGTAACTGGATCTGTGTCAGGGTCCTGGTCCAGACGTGGTGTTGAGAGTTATGCACACACTGTGAGCTGGGAGCCTCTCCAAAATATCTCTGGCCACATTTAAACATGAGAACGTGTCCTCCAAACTTCACCTGAGACACCCACACCGGACTCTCTTTAAGCCCCAGAGAATGCACACACACACACACACACACACACACACACACACACACACACACACAACTAACACGTTTGGGGTGGGACTACAAATATATGGGCTTCAAAAGTTTAACTACAATTTAAAAGGTCTGTACTACACTGTATTCTGATTAGTTTATATATTATACTGACTCTTGTACCCTTTAAGTCATGTTATAATATTGTTTCCTCCTCAAATACAGACCTGGAGTTGTGTTTTGTTTCACACATGTTTGCTTTGTTCCACCTTGTGATGTCATGAAGCAGTAGTTTCCAAGATAACAGCTCCTTTAACCTTTAGTTCAGTAGACTTTGGCAATTCCAGGCTGAAATGATCCAGATGATTCTAGTGAAGGTGTATGGAGTTTAAAAACACAGAGGAGCGCTTTCTAATCTAAAACATGACATCACAAGTTGGGAGTGTTTTGTGTTTGAGAGAAGAACTCGGCCTACAGGGTTTGTGTGTTAAATGTGTGAATGAAACACAATACAACTCCAGTTCGTCCTTATGCTGAAATCCTGAACTGAATCTAACTTCAACTTTAGTTTAAGCATCAACTGGATCCATGACAGAAATAAGTCCGGGTCTAACCAAAGTTAAATCAAGTGTTTAAGCTGCAGTGACCAGAGCAATGAAGTGAGCAACGACATCATGAAAAATGGGTCAAAAATGTGATGTTTTCAATGACTAAAAAAAAATGACTAAACGAGAGAGGAGCTACATCGAACAAACAAGAGCTTGATTTGGGACACTGAACTTTTCCACTCGTTCTGATCTTGGGAGCGAGAGGAAAGACACGACTCTCATTGCTCTCCTGTTCTCCTCCTCTAACGGTCGCTCCGTGGACAGAGAGGAGGAGGCTGTGGTGTGTGGAGTCTGGTTAATGGGGCCAGGAAATGAAGTTGCCTGACCTCTTCCGAATACGCGGTAGGTACGTAGCTTAAGTTCTACTGTGTGTAAAAGTGAAGCTGTAACAAAACTCTTCACATGTAGACTAGAAGAAACAATAAAATCCACACTGACATGTTTGCAGTTTGTCAGGGAGCGAGAGATGAGCGAATGAGGAGAGAGGCAGACGTGATGAAGGAGAGAACAGACAGAACACACTGTCATCCTCAGAGTCCAAACCAGCGTCTGTCTGTGTGGAAACACTGCACTGCTCCTCACAACAGACTCATGTGCAACATCATTAGAATGAAATTATAGCCATAGGCTTTTATGATTTGTGCCTTTGTGATGAGAGCAGTGTCCACACACACGTGTGTTCCACGTCCACACACACGTGTGTTCCACGTCCACACACACGTGTGTTCCACGTCCACACACACGTGTGTTCCACGTCCACACACATGCGTATCCCATGCATGGCAAAGTGTATGGACTAAAAGTCTCAAGCGACATGCGACTATAAAAGTCACTTTTTAAACTGTATCACACAGACAGGTGTGTGTTTAAACTGTATCACACACAGGTGTGTGTTTAAACTGCACTCACACACACACAGGTGTGTGTTTAAACTGCATCACACACACACAGGTGTGTGTTTAAACTGTATCACACACAGGTGTGTGTTTAAACTGTATCACACACACACAGGTGTGTGTTTAAACTGTAACACACACACACAGGTGTGTGTTTAAACTGTAACACACTGGTGTTCTGACACAGGTGTGTTTCTTTACACGTTCTTGGAGACAGAGCTAAAATAATCTGGACAGTTTTCTGGTCGTGAGCAGGTTTGGTTCCTGGTGCTTGTTACTTGCAGCAGCTCAGGTCACCTCTGGTCAGACACTGGGGCTTTGACAAGCCTGGTTTGGCCAAACAAGCCAGACTTTGGCTTTAGCTCTCTTACCCCCCAGGTCTGTTTGTGATGAGGTAACAACATTAGAACACAGATCAGAAAATATCGTCATGTGGGTCCTATGATTGTCTTACAGATGTTGTGATGTCATCTGAACCACCGGAATTACAAATTTAGTCACAAAATTGTCAGAAAAATGAGATTCAGAGATTGTTGTGTCCCTGTAGTCTTGCGGTACATTTGGTGGGAGTGGACGTGATCAGATACTGAGCAAAAACATGAGCTGTAGATAAGATTTCCTTCCTCTGGCCGCCCTCCCGTAAACACAGGGGCTGATGGGAAGTTTCAAACCAAAACAACATTAGGCTCCACCGTTTAGAACTGCACTTGTTGTGTATTCGAGGTTTAGAAGGCGATGTGTTCACTGCACAAACTCAAATGTACACCAGGGAGCTTTAGTCATTATGGAACTTCCAAGAAACAGACATCCAATGAATAATTAACACACAAATCGATTCTGTAGAACTGGCAATTAGGAAAGTCCTGCTTCAAACTGGATTTAGTCCTGGTTCAGCTCTACTACAGAACTGTCCTGGTTCAGTCCTGCTTTAGTCCTGGTTTACTTCTGGTTTAGTCCTAGTTTATTCCTGGGCTAACCCTGGTCTAAACCTAGTTCAGTCCTGACCTAGACCTGGTATAGCTCTGGTTCAGTCCTGGTCTAATCCTGGTTCAGCCCCAGTTCAGCCCCAGTCTAGTCTTTGTATAGCTCTGGTCTAGTCCTGGTTTAGTCCCAGTTCAGTCTTGGTTGAGTCCTGGTATTAGTCCTGGTTCAGTCCTGGTTTAGTCCTGGTTCAACCCTGGTCCAGTCCTGGTTCAGTCCTGGTCCAGTCCTGGTTCAGTCCTGGTTCAGTCCTGGTCTAGTCCTGGTTTAGTCCTGGTCTAGTCCTGTTTCAGTCCTGGTTCAGTCCTGGTTCAGTCTTGATCTAGTCCTGGTCCAGTCCTGGTTCAGTCCTGGTTCAGTCCTGGTCTAGTCCTGGTTTAGTCCTGGTTCAGTCTTAATCTAGTCCTGGTTCAGTCCTGGTCAAGTCCTGGTCCAGTCCCGGTCCAGTCCCGGTCCAGTCCCGGTCCAGTCCCGGTCCAGTCCTGGTTCAGTCCCAGTCCCGGTCCAGTCCCGGTCCAGTCCCGGTCCAGTCCCGGTCCAGTCCCGGTCCAGTCCCGGTCCAGTCCCGGTCCAGTCCCGGTTCAGTCCTGGTCAGTCCTGGTCCAGTCCCGGTTCAGTCCTGGTCCAGTCCTGGTCCAGTCCTGGTCCAGTCCCGGTCCAGTCCCGGTCCAGTCCTGGTTCCAGTCCCGGTCCAGTCCCGGTCCAGTCCTGGTTCAGTCCTGGTCTAGTCCTGTTTCAGTCCTGGTCCAGTCCCGGTCCAGTCCCGGTCCAGTCCTGGTCCAGTCCCGGTCCAGTCCCGGTCTCACCTGGTAGTGCATGAGTATGTGCATGATGTAGTCGTAGATCTCGGAGGAGACGCGTCCTTCGGGTTTGTACGGGAGGAGCACGTACTGGATCCCGAGCAGAGGGACCAGGATGAGCGTGGCCCTCACCGCCTTCATGTACAGACTGGACTCGGCCTGGTGCGTCACTTTGAGTTTAGTGATGAGCACGCGCACGATGTTCAGCAGGAAGAACAGATTTACCTGAAGAAACACACATTGAGACGGTAAATAAAGAGAGAAGAGATGAAGAGGGAGAAACCGTCACATTCACAAGACAAAAATGAGAGAAAGAGAGAGGAGAGGGACAGAGGGAAAGGTTAGACTTTAACCTTTCCTTCTATTGATTCCATTACACGTTGTCATGAAATATTCAAAAGGTAAATGCTCAAATGTTGGATCTGCTCCCACCTGTATTAAATAAAACTGACCAGAAGAACAGTGTCATCTGAAATACAGGAAGAGTCTGTTTTACTTTGTCGTGTAGTATAGTTATTTGCAGTGTTGGGAAGGTTACTTATAAAACGTATTCCCCTACAGATCGCAAATTACATATCCTAAAATGTGAGTAATGTAATCTGAATACTTTGGATTACTTGATATTGTCCTGCTTTTTAAAACTACATGAATGTACCGACACATCCTGAAAATTCTTGTTTGTTTTCTTCAAATTGTCTGTTGAGCCCAAGTCTCCATGAACAGACTTTTGTTTTACTGTAGAGAAACAAAGACCAGGATCTGAACATGAGAAGTTTTGTCTGTTAAAAGACAATAAAAAACCCAGTCTTTCCTTAACCGGATTAAAAATATTATTGATAGAGAAATTATTTCTATATGAGATCAATGCTGCTTTAAATTATGTTCACCTACTGTTAGTGTCATATTTTTTAGACCTGGTTTAATTCTGTTTTAGTCCTAGTTTAGTCCTGGTTTAGTCCTGGTTTAGTCTTGGATTTAGTCCTGGTTTAGTCTTGGTTTAGTCCTGGTTTAGTCCTGGTTTAGTCCTGGTTTAGTCCTGGTTTAGTCTTGGTTTAGTCCTGGTTTAGTCTGGTTTTTAGTCCTGGTTTTAGTCCTGGTTTAGTCCTGGTTTAGTCTTGGTTTAGTCCTGGTTTTAGTCCTGGTTTAGTCCTGGTTTAGTCCTGGTTTAGTCCTGGTTTTAGTCCTGTTTAGTTTAGTCCTGGTTTAGTCCTGTTTAGTTTTAGTCCTGGTTTTAGTCCTGGTTTAGTCCTGGTTTAGTTTTAGTCCTGGTTTAGTCCTGGTTTAGTCTGGTTTAGTCTTGGTTTAGTCCTGGTTTTAGTCCTGGTTTAGTCCTGGTTTAGTCCTGGTGGTTTAGTCCTGGTTTTAGTCCTGGTTTAGTCCTGGTTTAGTCTTGGTTTAGTCTGGTTTAGTCCTGGTTTAGTCCTGGTTTAGTCCTGGTTTTAGTCTGGGTTTAGTCCTGGTTTAGTCCTGGTTTAGTCCTGGTTTTAGTCCTGGTTTAGTCCTGGTTTAGTCTTGGTTTAGTCCTGGTTTTAGTCCTGGTTTAGTCCTGGTTTAGTCCTGGTTTAGTCCTGGTTTAGCCCAAAATGTGAAAACAGCCCTGTAATTCATTTATTTCAACAGAGTAACTGTAATCCAATTACCACTCACTGAAACAGTAACTGTAACTGAATACAGTTACTCATAATTTGTACTCTGATTACGTAACGCTGGTACATGTAATCTGTTACTCCCCAACACTGGTTATTTGTTTCGTAGATACGCTTTACTTTTCAACTTCTACTCTAGCAGTTGCTTCAAATGTTTTTTTTTCTGTCTGTCGGTTAAATCATGTCAGTCCACTTCCCGCTGAGTTGACTCTCCTCTCCTCTGCACTCTGAGTCACACTTTTGGAAGGAAACAGTTTCATATGATAACGTTTTTAAGTTTGAGTGACGAGTGCCACTGAATGACAGCGTTGCCATGGATACTCGAAGGGGCGGGGCGGAGTGGTGCTGCTGCTTTTTCTCTTCCCACAGAAGAAGAGACTCAAACTGTGACTTTAGTCGAGAAAATGTCATAGTGAGGGCTCGTCAACCATGCAAGTTTATTCACTTTAATCAGAGGCTGCACTTTCCACGCTCCGTCACAGAGAGCAGAGAGAGGCCGCGCTGACCACCTCCACCACAGAGAGAGGAAGACAACAAACGACAAATTCACATCTACCACAAATGAAATGACTTCACCAGCAAGAGCCACGCCACAACAGAGGAAGACGATAATGATATTTATTGACGGCAAATAGACACGATGGCTCAGGGGAGACTCAAGGTGGAGGCTCCGTCTTCAATCCAAAACCCCACCCCCTCCTTGATGATGATGATGAAGATGATGATGTCTTCGGACGAAAGACACGGGTGGGAGAGACGGGGTCAAGAGAGGTGATGTTGGGATAGGCTGAATAAACAGGGCTTCTGGCTAATTGAAGGTGTGGCTGGGGTTAGATGTGGTCGGCTGGAGAGAAAGTTGAAGGGTGATCCAGCTCCTGAATCTCAGTTAAAGGGATAGTTCAGGTTTTTTGACATGAATCTGTATGTCATCCCCGTCAGCAGTGTGGTGCATCCACTCTGACATTTAGGGGTGTGCAAAAATATCGGAATATCGATATATCGTATCATTTAATGTGATGATACAGTATCAATATCGTGGGCTACTGTATCGATATTTCACCAACAGTATTTTTACATGTGTTTTACTGAATTATTTTGTTACAGCTACAGTTTTGTTGCTTGTGGAGTGAAAGGAAACTCATTTATGCGACACATTTGACATTTTTACTGTTTTGTGGATTAAAATGTTTGTGTTTCATATGAACTTTGCACAAGAAGTGGTTTAAAAAACACTTTTAGTATCACAGCAATGATTTAGCCTTTATTTTTTTATTGAACTGTATCGAATTGATTTGAAATATATCATATCGAATCGAAAGTGCACTGTATCGAGATATGTATCGTATCGTGGCCTGTGTATCGAGGTATGTATCGTATCGGCAACTCCTTAATGATACCAGCCCTACTGACTTTACCTCCGAAAGCGTCCGATGAGTCGAGATCCTGACCGGTTTTGGTGCTGAGGAAAGTAGTTCGGCAAGTTGGCTGGGGACAGTCTAATAAAGCCTTTTTCTTCTCAAAACAATATGTGTTCAAAAGAGTGATACATTTGCACCACAAAACCTCCGTCCTCTAAAAAGTCAAACCTCATAATCACTTGGCGCTATTTTCTCTCCGTACGTATCACTGCGCACGGCCGCCAGGTGACAGCCGCGCCTGTTTCACTTTGTTTACTGCTCGGAATGTTAACAACAACAAGAAAAATGCTTTATTATACTGTCCCCAGCCAACTTGCCGGACTATTTTCCTCAGCACCAAAACCGGCCAGGATCTCGGCTCACCGGACGCTTTCAGAGGTAAAGTCAGGGTGGATGCACGACACTGCTGAAGGGGATGACATACAGCAGGGGTGTCAAACTCATTTTGGTCCAGGGGCCGTATCCAACCTACTTTGATCCCAAAGGGGCTGGATCAGAAAACTCATGTCATATAAACCCCAAAAATAACAATAAGTTCAAATATTTGTGCAGAGAAACACAAATCTATTACAGAAATATTTTTTTAATTGATGAACTCTTTCTTTTACAAAATATTTTAATATTATGAACAACCTGAAACTTGAAGAAAAATACAATTTCAACACAATGTTTTAACATGAACTTGTATGTAAATAGGAATAAGTCCATTTTTCACTCAGCGTCCACTTTTCTCATGTTGGACATTTTTCTGATGAGAGAGGAATCTTAGGTTAAAGGGAAGAAAGAAAAGAGAGAGATGAAAGGAAAGATGGAAAGCAGAAAAAATGAATTAAGCAAAATTAAATTTCTTTCTTCACCCAAATTACAACCAACAGGGCTGCAGAGTACATCAGAATCAAATCAAAATCAATATAATCAAATGAGCAAATCGTTTTACCATTTCCTCCACAAACAAACACAATGTCCTGTTTTATTCTGCATACAAATGTCTAGTAGTTTAAATCTGTGCAAATATGAATCTTGTATTAGTTTGTCACTTCAGATTTCAGTCTTTTTGTCAATTTAGTTCTTCTGGACGTGTTTAAAATATGAACTTGGAACTACACAGCTACACAAAATAAATGACACTGCAGTAGCATAAAATACATATGTTTTGGAGCAGGCATGTCTCAGATTGGCTTATCCACCTGTCCGTCAGCGAGGGAAGAGCTAGTCTAGTCTGACTGTAATCTGACTCCTTGTACAAGATCAGATTGTAGTCCTGACTGTTCAGGGTCAGAGATGTTTATATTTCAAATCCTGAGCTTGTGCTGTACCAGAGAAGAAAGACTGAGAACACAGAGCTGGGCTTCTGTCACTAAGACCACCCTGAAAAAGAGAAACCCTATTTTTCGGACTATAAGTAGCTCCAGCCACAAAATGCATAATGAAGAAGAAAAAAAAATATTGTCATATAGTCATGCCGGACTATAAGTCACACTTTCTGGGGGAAATTTATTTCATAAAGTCAGAGACCAGAAACCGACATTTCCTGTGTAAAGTCAAGTTGTAGCAATAAGAATAGAAGAGAGAAGAACAGACTGTTAACGTCACATATGAACAGTTGTTCAGATAAACTATAACATAAACAACAGAACAGACAAGTTTAACAAACTCTCCATCTCACTCCAAATCACTAAATCCATTCAATTCTTCATCCTCGGTGTCACTTCTGAACAACTCGACCTCGACCTCCGGAGGTAAACAGAGCGTCACTTCCTCTTCTGTGTCGCTGTCGTCAGACTCAGCATCAGATCCACTTGGAATTATTCGTGTCTTTCTGAATCCTGACAGGATGGTTTCAGTGTCACTGAAGTCCAGACTTTGTCCATCATCAGTGACTTCAGGAAAGTTTCATGGTGCATCCTCCCGGTGTCACAAGTTTCTCTCTCACTCCAAACTTTCTTTCTGCTGCTCGATTATTGTTTTCAGCTGCAGATTTCATGACTTGCAGTTTGTAATCTGCAAAGTCTGATTTTGTTTTTGGGAGCATTTGTGTTCAGTTTTCTCAGTCGTCTTTATAAGTTTGTTTAAATGTAAAATTGTTCAGTGGTGCAGAAGTAATGGTGCGATCGACTGACATGATACAGACAGAACAGAGGCTCTTTCTGCAGGAGACATGTGCAGTAGAGTGAAGTGACAGTGGTGCAGGAGGAACAGGAGCAGCAGATACTCACACACAAGACTAGAACCTCTTACTGCTGTCAGTGTGAACATTTTAATATATAAGTCACAGGAAACACTCAAACCATGAAAAAAAAGTGTGACATATAGTCCGATAAATATGGTAAATAAATAAAAGAGACCACTTTTCTAAACCAGAACTCTGAGTAATTCTTAGTTTAAGTTTTCAAATCTCATATAAAAGTGTGTAAATGTTTTTTACCAGCAGGGCAGCGCAGATGGGCCCGTGGATGATGTAGAGCAGCGACGTTTTAGAGCTGATCCAACAACTACAAAAAACAACCAAAACAAAACAAACACAATATTAGAATCTCATCGTGCTTTTTGACTCTGTGCACGACGCCACCAGTCTGATCTCTGCGAGGATTCTGTCACATCGAGGCAAAATGAGACAGATTTAAACATGAGGCAGCGTGGGACAGGTGGATCACAGACAAAATTCGACTTTGACTTTATTAATCCGCAAGGGAAATACAGTTTGACTAAATAAATGAGGAGAAAAGGTTATTGCTAATATTGAGACATAATAAATATTGAATAACTCCACAAACTGAAATAATCTACAAAGCAATAATAGTCTTTAAATCTTTACTTGAATTGGTTTATTTTATATTTTACATTTGAATAAAAGTGAGACACAGTGAGCTAATGAGGACGAAGTTACAGAGACTATGGATACTTCACAGGGACATCGCGCTTGGGGGTGTTCTACATATATCTCTGTGGTGGAATGATCAGACGTTACTATGGAGACACAATTGAGATAAATAAAATTAAATAAAAACTACAAAACTGATCTCAACAGCACATTTTCAGGAGCCTGTGATCAGTGCGAGCGTTCATGGTCCTGTTTAGGAGTTTGATTTTCAACAAAAATCTGAAAGACTAATGTGAGTAACAGAGCCTCAGACAGAGCAGTGCCTCTAGTTAGCATTAGTTGTCATTTGTAGGGATATAATGGTACATGCATTTGTATTAAACTGCATATAACTGAAAGGTTTTCATTCTTCTCTCTAATTTGTCTCTCTTTTAATTTAAATTTTAATCTTTATGATTATTTATGTTTTGATTTGTTTTTATTATGATTTTAATGTATTTCTTATTCTGTAAAGCACTTTGAATTACTTTGTGTACAAATTGTGCTGTACAAATAAACTTGCCTTGCCTTAAACTGTTTCAGTACAGGACGTTGGGTTCGGTGCAGGGCTGTGCACGAGTGAGTCCAAGCAATTTGTGTGTCTTTACATTCTGCCACTACATGTGCAGCTACATGGAGGCTCACCTCTTTAATATTCACAAGGAAACTCGTCCGTGTTTGAGGTGGCAGTGTTTCTCACAGCGCTTTATATTTAGGGTGACCGCAATTGACAACAATTGCCCCCCCACCTTGACTATGTCCCTCAAATCACATGAATCCTCACAAAACTACAGTCATCGCGCACCGGTCCTCACATTCACCTTTCACTGGCACGGAATCTCCGCCCGCCCACGCCCACCCCTCGTACCCCCCAAACCCTCCACCTCTGCCTGGGTGAAGGTGTATTTTCAAGCTCTGAGGACACTGCAGCAGATCTGCACTTACTGCAGACAATGTGGACAAGTTTTTTTCTGGCCAAAAATATAAAGATTGAGTAAAAGTTCATGCTGGAACTGTTAGTGCTGTGCTTTTACTGCTTACAAGGAATTTATTATTTATTATTTTATTTATTATTATTTTTTTATAATATTTCAAACATTTGTTGTTTATTTAAGAATATTTTATTTAAATTATTAGTATTACCAAGCAGCACTTTTTATTTATTTTATTTTCCTGTTTTTATAATGTTAAAACAAATTATTGGTTTAATAAACACACAAATAAACAAAAAGCAAATAGCTTTGAATGTTCTCAATCTGTACCAAAAACCGAACCGTGACCTCAAAACCGAGGCACATAATGAACTGTGATTTTTGTACCATTACACATTACAGTACAGTTATAATATTAATATAAAACAGACTGAGGACTGGTTCTCATCTGTGTTCTAATGTTGTTTCCTCATCATAAACAGAACTGGAGTTGTGTTTTGTTTCATTCACACATGTTGAACACACAAACCCTGCAGATTGAAACTGAAAACACAAGTGTTCCACTATATTTTTCAACTTCATTCACCTTCATTAGAATCATTTGGGTTATTTCCGTCCTGGAATTGCCAATCTCGACTGAACTAAAGTTGCTGTTGAGGTGGAACAGAGCATTAGAAGCTTTGGGCAGACTAATAATAAAGGATTACTCAAACAAAAGTGAATGAAACAAAACACAACCCCAGCTCTGTTTTTGAGGAGGTAACAATGTTCTAACAAGACTAAAAGCTCATTTTAATATATGACAGAGTGATAAAGGAGCTCTTACTTGTCGTTGTAGTAGTAGCTTCTGGCGATGGCGTGGATCGAAGCAGGAATCAGTGGGAAACCTGAAACAGAGAACACATGTTATAGTTGGTCAATTGCCACAGACCAAGATAACAATTTGACAGTTTATTTACAGTTAAACAGAAAAAGATAAAGAGAAGAGGAAATGCCATGGCTGCCCCCACCCTCTGGAACTCTCTCTGTCTTCACATCAGAAACTCCAACTCACTAAACACCTTCAAAAAACTGCTCAAAACACAGCCGCTCCTCACAGCCTGTAGTCCCCTCACATGACTTTGCGTCTTTACTGTTTTGTCAGTCCTGTGCTTGTTTTAGTGTAACTTTATTATTATTATTAAATAGTAGGAGTAGAGTAAGCAGCAGTAGTAGTCTCACCCCATCCAAGGAGGTAGTACCAGAGCAGATGTTGTTTCTCGGCGAACACGGCCACCACGATGAGAGTGTGCAGGTAGATGCCCTCGCACAGCATCCAGAAGTAGTTACAGCCAAACAGGTAGAGGTGGATGAACTGGGACACTTTACAACTCGTCTGCAACAAAACCAGACAAAAAAAAAAAAAAAAAAAAGATCACCACTCAAGTTCAAACATAATAATAATTAAAAAAAAACAAAAACAAAAAAAGATCACGACATAATAATAATAATAATAAAAAAAAATAAATAAAAAAAGTGAAAATGTAAAAAATAAATATAAATAAATAATAATAATTTTGGACATACAAAAAATAAGTAAAAATACATAATACACATTTTTAGCCAAAAAAGACCCATTAAAAAAAAAAAAAAAGGAAATAAATAAATAAATCCATCCATCCATCCATCCATTTTCGTCCGCTTATCCAGGGCCGGGTCGCGGGGGGAGCAGCCTAAGCAGGGACTCCCAGACTTCCTTCACCCCAGACAGACACGTCCTCCAGCTCCTCCGGGGGGACCCCAAGGCGTTCCCAGGCCAGCCCAGAGACATAGTCCCTCCAGCGTGTCCTGGGTCTTCCCCGGGGCCTCCTCCCGGCGGGACATGCCCGGAACACCTCCCGAGGGAGGCGCCCAGGAGGCATCCGGAACAGATGCCCGAGCCACCTCAACTGGCTCCTCTCGATGTGGAGGAGCAACGGCTCTACTCCGAGCTCCTCCCGTGTGACTGAGCTCCTCACCCTATCTCTAAGGGAGCGCCCAGCCACCCTGCGGAGGAAACTCATTTCGAGCGCTTGTATCCGCGATCTCGTCCTTTCGGTCACTACCCAGAGCTCATGACCAGAGGTGAGAGTAGGAACGAAGACTAAATAAATACATGAACAAAAAAAAACATACAATGCAGTAAAAAGATAAATAAAATTAAATAATATTTAATTCTAAACTTCAGCTTGGGTTGGAAATATTCTAGCCTTAACTGTAAATCAGAATATGAATTGAAAGAATAAAAGTGCATGATAATAAGAGTGGGCACGTACAGGGTTCCTCTGCACCAGCTCCTGGTTGTTGGCCACAGCCGTGAGCCAGATGATGGTGATCACCGAGTTTAAGACGAACGAGAAGAAGAGGTTTTTGTGGAGCGTGATCCTCTGGCAGCTCAGGCTCCTGAAAATACACAAATTAAACAGTTAAGTAATAGAAATAATTATAATTACATATATGTGTGAGTCAGACAGAGAGACAGATCAGACTCCTGTTTAAAGGAACTGTACTGATTTTAATTTATTATGAGGTAAACATGTTCATATCAAATATAACTTTTACTGTTAACAATTGTACTGCTGATTTATTATTAATCACAAAAACATTGGGCTGAGTTATTTCTGTTATAATTTGGTGTTTTGGTTCAAGATGATTTTCCAGCAAGCAGAATGAGCTTCACATGAGTCTGTCTTTTGGACTCTCTCTGATCTGAATGGTCACTCCCTAAAGCCCGGCACCTGCAGCGGTCATGAGTCGGTGCTAGTGCAGCCGCTGCAGCTCAGGGAGGGAATTCTGGAAGTTCTGAGCTTTTACATGAGGCCTGAACGTAAACTGAGAATGTGTGTGTTCTCTATCTGCAGGTTAAGGCTCTGGAGACACAGGTTCAGTTGTGATTGTAGTACTTTTTATAAACCTGTAAGAGGCTACATACAGTTCCTTTAAAATATGTATGTAAAAGAGAGAGACGTACTTGAAGTGGAAGAAGATGCCCAGAGAGACGAAGAGTGAGGTGAGCGAGAGGCCGTGTCCGATCAGAGCCAGGTAGAACAGGTTCATGGCCGTCTGAAACACAACACACACATGGGTGACACAGTGTATGACCAGAACACTGCACTGGGATTACTACATTCATATTAACAATTTCAATTAAATAACAAACTGTACAACAAACAAAGGATTTTGTCTCTTCCCAGTGTGAAAGAAGCTAATTAAAGGTGCTCAGCTACACCATATAAAGCCCTAACTGCTTGTCTCCATGGAGATATTGTTTGTCTTCCATAGGGACAAGCAGATGATGCCATCAGGACAAGTTACTGGTCAGATCTGTGGAGAGGTGAGCCCTCTCAGTAAGATTGTTTAATGTTAATCATAAATTTCAGGCAAAGGATTCCTTCATGGTTTGAAGGATTTTGTGAGAACCTTTCCCTAGTCAAAAGACAGACATATATTATACATGAGATAATATTTGGATTTGTGGAGGATGGGGGACTGTGCCCAATCCTTCAAATCAGGACGGAATCCTTTCCCTGAAACTCATGGTTAGCATTGAACATCTATATCTTGAATATGACATTCTAAGCAAAGCAATAATATCTAAATGAGATAAGAAGGTGACAAACCCTCCACCAAATGCACTATACACCTTTCCACAAGCTCAAAGACAATTACATGCACTGTGCCTTAAATGTGCCTTTAACTGCACCTCTAACTATACCTCTACATGTACCTCTAACTGCACCTCCAACTGCACCTCTAACTACACCTTTAACCTGTTACCACCCGCCTCATTTTGGTGTGTGCACAATGGTAAGACATACCCAAATGTCATAGCTTATTAAAAGAAAACCTTAGAACCCACATGCTTGTGTGAGGCACCATTTTAAAGCTTAGGCCTTCTAGTTTCTGTAGATATGTACATGAAGACTGTGAGTGCTGCCTAACCTACAGTACAGTCAATTAAAATTTTATTTTTTTGCTTCGAAAAAACAATTGAAAAAAATAAAGGCCTTAACTTGGTCATACTTCATGCTAGGCATTTGTGACTCACTACACTCATTGTTCAAGTTGTTGGCAACAACTGTGTAGAATTTCAGATCTCTAGGACAAAGGGTTTTGATGCTGTGAGCCTTTGTGTAAACAAAATGACAATTCGGCACAAGATTGCCAAATTTGTGCCAAAATAATAATAATAATAATATAATAATAATAATCATTGTTATTATTATAATACTAATTCTTCTGAGCTTTAGGCATGTTTTCTCAAGAAAAAAAACTAAAAGTAGCCAAAATTGTCCTCCAACTGGCAGTTCTGCTACTCCCACACTGCTCTCTGTGTCTCTCTCCTGGTCCCTCTCGGCTGCGCGTATAAACACAGGGTCCGTTTCCAATACAATCTGAATGTCCCACCCACCGTTTGAAAGCTCTGGTGATTGGCTAAAACAATATGTCAATCACTTTCTGGAAGATCCAATGACTGAAGAGATTTCCCGTAAACAAACTGATGACGCGTGCGTAAAGCCGGGAAGTACGTGAGTGCGTTAGCTTCTTCAGCGGCTTGTCCCACCTAAACCCCGCCACCGACAACAGCGGGGAGGGTCTCATTTTGAAGCTAAGAGTGTGAGGAAAACAAGCGTACCCAAGAGCGGGAGAGAAAGGGAAGTGAGAGCGGGAGAAGAGGCGGAGGAGAGACATAATATTTTCATTCACGGATTCATCCACTCATACGGACGACGGTTTTCTGGATTATTTCCCCACATGGAATTATTTTTTGGAAAAACAACTTGATATTCTTTTTCTGTGGATTATTACGGATTTATTGAGTACAACTTTTCATGGATTGAACGCGTTTTGGACCGACAGAACCGGCTCAAAGGTAAGAAACGCGTATCTTATTCTTTGTTTATGATGTGAATTTTTAAGTTATAGCGTTTTGGGCTCATTGTACGGCATAAAATAAATGATATGGTTGTTTTATTGATAAATTAAGCTTTCAAACGATGTATGGCATGCCAGTAGTGAAAACAATAATGAAGGTGAATATACAGAGTGAACATTTTTTATTGGAAAATCGCCCGCCGGCGGGCGGGTGGATGGTAAGTGGTACCTCTAACTGCACCTCTAACTACACCTTTAACTGTACCTTTACTGCACCCCTTAATTACACCTTGAACTGTACCTCTAAATGCACCTCTAACTGTATCTCTAACTGAACCTTTACCTGCACCTTGAACTGTACCTCTAACTGTACCGTTAACTGCACCTTTAATGGTACTTTTAATGGTACTTATAACTGCACCTTTAACTGTACCTCTAACTGCACCTTTAACTGTACCTCTAACTGTACCTCTAACTGCACCATTAACTGTACCATTAACTGTACCATTAACTGTACCTCTAACTGTACCATTAACTGCACCTTTAATGGTACCTTTAACGGTACCTTTAACTGTACCTTCAACTGTACCTCTCAATGCATCTTTAACTGTACCCTTAAGTGCACCTTTAACTGTGCCTCTAACTGTACCTCTAATTGTACCATTAACTGCACCTTTAATGGTACTTTTAATGGTACTTATAACTGCACCTTTAACTGTACCTCTAACTGCACCTTTAACTGTACCTTCAACTGTACCTCTCAATGCATCTTTAACTGCACCTTTAAATGCACCTTTACCTGCACCTTTACCATCCAAACAGAGCTAGAGCTTTTTCACTTGGCCCTTCCATTTCCATCCAGAGTGGTACATTCGACTCCAGCCTGTCCCCCTCTACTGTAAAAGCACCTCATAATAACCTGACCTCTGTGTAAATGTTACAGTGCCCTTTTTAAATCCTGTTATGAATTCACTTCTTCAACATAAGCCCTCGCTGCACTAAAGGCCACACTCTGCATATTTCACATGTATTTTTATTTTATACACACTTTTACATAAGCCCAGGACACACTCCCCCAGGGGATAATAGCAGATCTGCATGTTTCCATGGAGATATAAACAAGCAGGTGACCCATCCTCCACCACAAATGTTACACTCCTCATACAGGTCAAGATGAGGAGCCATGTGTTACACAGTTTTAACATATGTAAAGTGTCTCTACATTTTGAATTGATGACATAAAGTGTGTTTACATGCACGTCAGTATCCTGGTTATGATCGGGTTTTTGAGTATCCCGGTTTCTTCATGGTGCATGTAAACACAGTATCCCAGTTTCAGTATTCAGTATCCCAGTTATTAGAAACCAGAATACTGAAGCTGGTATATTCCGATAGTAACCGGGATACTGTGGCATGTAAACGCAGTATCCCGGTTACTGCAACATAAAGTTGCGTGTGCATGTGTCCAAAAGACAAACACTTTACAGTCTTTTCACCGCAACAGTAGCAACATAGATAAAGTGACCAACATAAATAAAGTGACCAACATAAATAAAGTGATCATACATGAGTGAAATGACTGTAAAATAAAAAGCTGCGCTAAACCTGCACATGTACAATCTGCACTCGTATGACCTGCACACATTTGATCGCTGAAAAGCTAAAACATGAACTATCTCCTATACGATATACACACAGAACAGACTCACCATCATCAGCACCTCTTCTGTCACAAAAAGAGCACACATAATCCACTGAGTCATGTCATTTAGTCCGACAGAAGCTGAATCACATCAGCGGCACAAGGAGCGAACTGTTTTTATCACCGCTAACAGTTTATGCAAATGAGTCATGTGGTTTTAAGTAAAATCGCTTCTGTAAAACGTAAACAAATGTGATCAAAGCTGAATTATCTGATCAAACGGGCTGATGTGGTTCTATAGTGTTTATGGTTTATATGTTGTAAAGTTGAGTTTATTTATGCAGAAGATTTTAATTAATAACCTGTTGGGTTTGATCTGTGCAGTGGATTGTGGGAGATCTCATAGCTCCTCACCGCTGGTTAAACCTCCCGGGCTTCCGACGCTAAAGGAGCTCATCGTTTGTATTTTTCCTGGTTTATTAATATAATTAAGTTAATTTTTTTGTTTGTGCATTTGTAAGATTATGTCAAGAAACCGGGATATTCCATTTGATCATGTACACAGGATATGAGTATACGTATACACAGTATCCCGAATACTGACATAACCAGGATATGGCTAATAACCGGGATACTGTATGTATACGCACTCATAGATAGACGGATTCCTGTTTTGAACTCAATGTTACTTCCTGTAATTTTCAGTATATTTATTTCAACTTTTCTTCACAACTGGTAAATGGTCACATATAGAGCTTTCCACTTTCAAGGCACTCAAAGCACTTTACATTAAGAAAACCACTCAACCATTCACACACACACACACACACACAGTCACAAACACACCAGTCTACACAGCCAATGGGGACGAACGACAGTATTCATCTGTGGGAAACTGGAATCGCACCACCAACCACCAACCTTTGGATCAGAAAATGAACACTCTACCAACTAAGCTACTGTCGCTCATTTAACTTGTTTAAAACTATGATAAATATTCACAGCAGTGCATGTTGTTAGCCTGATTTCAGTGTTCTCTCACCACTCTGCCTTCGTTGGTGTGCTCGTTGCATCGGGTGTAGTTGGTCCATGTTCGGTTGGACTCTGGATGAAGAAACCACTGCCCGCTGTCAGTGCAGATCTTCGTCACCATCTCTGCAACATCACAAACAAAACAACTCAATACAACTCAGTACAACTCAATACACTATGTGCTTTTACTCCAGGCACTGTTCACACACAGACCCCAGAAAATTGCCAGGACACTCAGTAGTAAGATTGTCAAAAGTACCAAAAATCAGATAGTAATCACTACTACTACTTTAGAATGACCTTGAGCTGTAGCAGAACAAGTATAGGAGCACATAGACTAGTATACAAAATGCAGGTAAATTCCCAGTTCAGACTGACTGCGTGAATGGGGCCTAAGTTTTATTTGGCCTACTGTGTCCTATACATTTGATCCATCCTTCAGTGTCTCTGTAATGATGGACGGCAGATAATATGACAGAAGGTTATAGAGTGTAGCTGTAGCTGTGCAGAGGGACATTAGAGCGTGTCAGAGGGACACAGTCACAGTCAGTTATGTCACTTTTCTGTTCTGTTTTGTAATAAAAGGTTTATAGCTGAAGCGTGAGAGACTGTTTCACTTCGGGGCATCTGACACAAAACCAGAACAAAACATCCGAAGTACATCCAGAACATATCCTACACATTGTTAAAGGGAGGGGTGGAGTGTACTGTGTTAAAGGGGAGGTGAGCTCATTTAGTCATAGTCTTAAATCTGACACAAAACAGTTCAAAGGAAACATGAAGCATACACAGGTCTGAAGAAGGTGACATCATCACAGACAGAATCCAGTGTGAAACCCAGTACACTTCATATAAAGACAATCTGAGAGCTGCTGCTCCTCTGGATGTCTGGAGCAGTGGCTCTACTCCAAGCTCCTCTCTAATTTAAAAGTTATATACTTTCAAGTACTTCATTTGTGGCTGTGTGTTTTTGTCTGTCTGTGCAACAAAGTCCTGGAAGTAATCTGGACAGTGTTGCTCTGCGGTCACTCCTGAGGAGGAGTCTCACCTGAGGGGTGGAGCCTCATCTAAGGGGGCGGTGTCTAACCTGCAGAGGGAGGAGTCTCACCTGAGGGGTCAAAGTCCTGAAAGTAGTCAGGACAGTGCTGCTCTGCGATCACTCCTGCTTTGGTGTCGTCCCAGCACAGCCAGCCGTCCCACGTCCGGTTACACACGGAGTCTAAAACACAATAAGTGTACACAGTACTATACACACAATATATGTACTGTCATGTACACAGTACTATACACACAATATATGTACTGTCATGTACACAGTACTATACACACAATATATGTACTGTCATGTACACAGTACTATACACACAATATATGTACTGTCATGTACACAGTACTATACACACAATATATGTACTGTCATGTACACAGTACTATACACACAATATATGTACTGTCATGTACACAGTACTATACACACAATATATGTACTGTCATGTACATGGTACTATACACACAATAATATATGTACAAATACACAACTGTCCTACGGTTACTCAAGGAATCTGCACATATACTATTATATACACATATACTACTTTGTTCTATGTCTGATATAGAATGTATTATGTGTTGTGATAAAGTCATGTTTCTTGTATTCGTACCGTTCCTGTTTCCTGCTGAGTCCTTGAGTATTTTCTGGTAACACTCAAACTGAGCGGTGACGATCTTGTTCCGGGTCACCCCCATGTCGTGGTACACGTTTGTGGGGTGCTGCTGCGTCTCGTTCACCTCTGGACTGGCCTCTGCAGAAAACTACAAAACAACAAGAAATCATGTCAATATTTACTGTGTTTAGTAGAATAATTGTTTGATTGAAAGCTCATACCTGTGTGAAACTGCAGAGTAACAGCAGCGGAGTGACCCAGCTGCCCATCCACGCCGCCATTTTGTTTGGTCCGAGGACACAGCAAGATCTGCAACAACAAACAAACAGTCTGATTTTAAAGCTTTCCAGACACATTTTGAGCATCCTCAGTATTCACTGTGTTGAGTTTATAAGCACTTTTCACAACTCAAGTGTTCAGAGCAGACTTTCCCAGTATGCCATTGCTAACTGCTACTAGCATGCTAATAATTCTCTATCCTGTAGATGACTTGACATCAAACAGCCAACGGAATGAAGCTGGAAATGAGCCACGTTGGCTATAATCTTTACATATTTACATTTTAAATGTTGATTAATATGTGCTGTCCCTTTACAAAAAAAAAAAAAAAAAATATATATATATAATATATATATAATATTATATATATATATATATATATATATATATAAGGTGACCAGAACTTCATAATACAAAACTGTGACAAACCCGAGTTGGAATGGTTGATGTAAATAAAAGTGTGGAAGAGTGTGTACCATAGTCCATTCTCAGCTCACTGGTGGGTCAGTCATTATCTGAGGGACAGTCAGTGCATTTTTAGCTCCATGGTCATTTTCAAGTACAGTTATCTATACTTTAGCTGTTATTGTATTACTGTATTTCTGCTGTACTTGTCACAGTACGGCTTGTCAAAGCCTGATCTCATCAGATCTCAGAAGCTCAGCAGGACTGGGCCCGGTTAGTGCTTGGATGGGAGACACTGGGAACATCAAACGCCTCAGGGGGGCAACAGCTACACACACACACCCACACACACACACACACACACACACACCACACACACAACAAACAAAAAAAAAAAAACTGTTGTTGTGTCCTTAGGCAAGACTCTTCATCCACATTGCCTGGTATGAAAGCAGTGCGTGATGTTGTCAAAGGGACCAATGGCACAAATTGCAGCTGTGGCTACAATAGGAGTTTACCACCACCGAGTGTTGAGTGAATGAACAATGAACTGTAAAACTCTGGGTGTCTTGAAAGGCGCTGTATAAATGCAAAGATGCATTAATTAATTAAAGAAATGGTAATATATTTTCCCCTTTACTGTTGTGAGGATCAAATAGTATGGAAGCCGAGAGGGGTCACAACAAACGCAAACGCCGCAACAAATGCAAATGTGACAACACAACAAAAAGCCACAATACACACCAAAAAAAGCCACAACGGAAATGACCGCAGGACTCTATTTTAATGCAAACGCTGCAACAAATGCAAACGCCACAACACAAACGCAAATGCCACAACACATTAAAAAGCCACAACACATTAAAAAGCCACAACGTAAGTGACCGCGGGACTCTATTTTCCGACGGACCGATCAAGTGGCAAGTGAAGAAAAAGAACTACAACATGAAAAGTAAAAGAACGGAGAAGTTGGAAAAGTAAGTAAAAGTAATTTATTGTTTTATCATTATTCGTTTCACATTGTAGTTCTTCTTCTTCACTTGCTGCTTGATCGGTCCCTTGGAAAATAGAGTCCCGTGGTCACTTCCGTTGTGGCTTTTTGATGTGTTGTGGCATTTTAATGTGTTGCGGCGTTTGCATTAAAATAGAGGCTCGCTGTAATTTCCGTTGTGGCTTTTTTTTTGGTGTGTTGTGGCTTTTTGCTGTGATGTCGCATTTGTATTTGTTTCACCGTTTGCTTTAAAATAGAGTCCCGTGGTCACTTCCATTGTGGCTTTTTTTGGTGTGTTGTGGCTTTTTGTTGTGTTGTTGCATTTGTGTTGTGGCATTTGTATTTGTTGCGACATTTGCATTAAAATAGAGTCCCACGGTCATTTCTGTTGTGGCTTTTTTTTGGTGTGTTGTGGCTTTTTTTTTTGGTGTGTTGGGGCTTTTTGTTGTGTTGTCGCATTTGTATTTGTTGCGTCGTTTGCGTTTGTTGTGACCCTCTCGGCTTCTGTAAAATAGGGACACTTGGGACATTTCATAAATAAAACCGTTAAATCAGTGTTTTTGGATAAATCTTTTGGGACAGGAGACACGGGGCTCAACACTGGGACTGTCCCTCTGGTCCCCCAACTCAGATCATGATACAATGTTATTTAACTCACACAGTGTTACCTGAGCTACACTGGACTTTTTATAGAGTAGAATTTCGTAAGCTGCACAAAGTTAGTGGAGTGCCCGCGCTGAGTCATCAGCTCCTATAGGACACACATATGCTAATAGGAGCCAGATGACTCATTAGGGCCACGGACGATTCAGCTAAATGTGACAAATATTCACACCTTAGGGAACTTCAATGCGCCATACCTGAGTTTTACTGTCTGAAAAACATGAAAAACAGAACGAGAGCATTTGAAACAGTCTGAAGTGTTCCAAAGTTTCTTCCTCACTGACCTTACGCATTCAGAGCCTCCTCATGACTCACCGCGATGAGTTTATAAAGAAAACACACCTTTTCTGACCCGAACCAACTTTTTTTTCTTTTCACATCGTCAGAGAGAACTTTCTTTAGTAGGAAACAACCGTCATGCCCTCCTTCTGCTCCACCAAATCTAAACCAAATTTAAACCAAATCTAAACCAGACCTAAACCAAATTTAAATCAAAGCTAAGTCAAGTCTAACTCAAAGTTAAAGCATGTGGAAAATGTACAGACACTAACTGACCTAATGAACCCAGGACTGATATTTTTAGAAAGAAGAGAAAGAAAGAGAGAAGGGGAGTGAAAAGAGAGAGAGAGAGAGAGAGGGAAGGAGGGGGAGAAAAAGAGAGGAAGAGAAAGTGAGGGGGAGGAAGGGGAAGACAGGAAAGGATAAAAAGTGGAAGAGAGAGAAGGCAACGAGAGAGAGGAGAAAGAGAAGGAGTGATGAGAGGAGTGGAGAAAAAGAGAGAGGGGAGAGAATTGAGATGGTGGGAAGAGGAAGAGTGGAGGTAAAGACAGAGAGAGAAAGGGAGAGAGTGAGGGGGTACAGGGAGAGAGGGACTACTACTACTACTACTACTACTACTACTACTACTACTACTACTACTACTACTACTACTACTACTACTACTACTACTACTACTACTACTACTACTACTACTACTACTACTACTACTACTACTACTACTACTACTACTACTACTACTACTACTACTACTACTACTACTACTACTACTACTACTACTACTACTACTACTACTACTACTACTACTACTACTACTACTACTACTACTACTACTACTACTACTACTACTACTACTACTACTACTACTACTACTGCTGCTGCTTTTGATACTACTACTACTACTACTACTACTACTACTACTACTACTACTACTACTACTACTACTACTGCTACTACTACTACTACTACTACTACTACTACTACTACTACTACTACTACTACTACTACTACTGCTACTACTACTACTACTACTACTACTACTGCTACTACTACTACTACTACTACTACTACTACTACTACTACTACTACTACTGCTACTACTACTACTACTACTGCTGCTGCTGCTTTTAATACTACTACTACTACTATCTCTACTACTACTACTACTACTACTACTACTACTACTACTACTACTACTGCTACTACTACTACTACTACTACTACTACTACTACTACTACTACTACTACTACTACTACTACTACTACTACTACTACTACTACTACTACTAGTAGTACTACTACTACTACTACTACTACTGCTACTACTACTGCTGCTGCTGCTTTTGATACTACTACTACTACTACTACTACTACTACTACTACTACTACTACTACTACTACTATTGATGCTGCTGCTGCTTTTGATACTACTACTACTATCTCTACTACTACTACTACTACTACTACTGCTACTACTGCTACTACTACTACTACTACTACTGCTACTACTACTACTGCTGCTTTTGATACTACTACTACGATCTCTACTACTACTACTACTACTACTACTACTACTACTACTACTACTACTACTACTACTACTACTATGCTGCTGCTGCTGCTGCTGCTTTTGATACTACTACTACTACTATCTCTACTGCTACTACAACTACAATCACCACCACTATTAGTACTATTATCACTACTACTACTACAACTACTACAACTACTACTTCTACTACAACAACTACTACTAATACAACAACTACTACTAATACTACTACTGCTGTTGCTGTTACTACAAAAACAACAACTACTACTACTACTGCTGCTGCAACAACTTCTACTACTACTCCTACTACTAGTATTAGTACTAGTACTAGTACTCCTTGTCTTGTTCGTGTGTGTATATCAGAGGTTCCTGGGCTGTAGAAGATGAAGTGCAGTGGGTCCAGAGCCAAAGTAAACAACACCGCAGGAGTCTGAAACTTTAACACCTCCAAATGTTTCTCTAACACACCAGGAGCGACGGAGGGATGAGATGAGAGAAGAGAGGAGAGAGAGGGAGAGACATCAGGGGGTTAGAGGAGCGACGGAGAGACGCCGAGAGGAAGGAGAGAGGGCAGAAACATCAGGAGTTTAGAAAGAGAAAAAAGTGAGAAAGAGAGGAGGTACAGAGGGATGGAAAGAGGGTGGAGACATCATGGGGTTAGGGAAAAAGAGAGAGAGAGAGGTATGGAGGGATGAGAGAGGGAGGAAAGGGGGGAAGACAGGTGAAAAAAAGAGAGATGGGAGAGAGGGGAAAGGGCTGGAGAGAGAGGGTTAGACCTCCAGGAAAAGGGAGAGAAAAACAACAGACGGGAGGGATGGAGAGAGAGAAGAGGAGTGGATATCGGGGGGAGTTAGGTTAAGAAAAAAAGAGAAGAAGAGCGGAGAAGGAGAGTAAGAGAAAGAAGAGAGGAGAGGAGAGAAAGACAGCGGGGAGTTTAAGAAAAATACAGAGGCGATATTAATAAAGAGAGAATGAAGAGAGAAAGAGGGAAAGAGAGTGAGAAAGAAGAGATGGAGAGAAAGAGGAGATGGAGAGATGGAGGGAGAGTAAAGTTCCCGGAGCCTGTTTGGATGCACTTATTTAACGCTGTTTTCAAAGTGGAATCAGAAAAACAGATTTGTGGCTAAAAGCAAATCATTAAGA